ACTTGCCATGTCTCCTTCCTTAGGCAGTTATTGGAGGAAGTACTCAACAAAAGTAAAGAAATAAACTAAAAAAGATGACGGTATGGGGAACAAGTAACAGGGGGAATCACCAGGATGAGGATGAGTAGTGATCTCACAACTGGTTGCCAAGTGTAGATAGCATCCAATCAGTCCCAGTAGGAACAGACTAGAAGATTTCAAGATAAACTGCTGTGAAAAGGTGAAATTAGTAGAATGTGTAATGCGTTTGAAGATATAGAGAGTAGATTGAGACAGGGAAAAGTTTATATCTAAACTAGTCATAAGTGTACATAAAACTAGGTAAACAATAAAACAAAACAACATGTAATTCTGGGGAAAACTGCTCAGAAAGGGAAAGTAATTGCAGTATACTGTATGGCTCAGTTGTGAATTGCATTTACAGAGTCATAATAATGTTAACTTCGAATATAATCAAAATAATTATATTGAGAAATTGGGAAGTGTGCATGTGTATGAGATAAGGCTGGGGCAGTCAAAGAGAGCTAAGTTCTTATTTTTCTAAGGGAAATGAAAAGATGAAAAGGGAGACACTTGCCATGTCTCCTTTCTGAGTGCAAAATAAGTCTTGTAAAGCTGTTTGACTCTTTAAACTTTGTACATGTATATACTAATGAAAATAAACACTGAATTTTAAATAAGAAAGTGGATGTAAGGACATTGAAAGCCCAACTGTACACGACTCAGACACGCAGTTTTTTCTGGAAAAGGGAGCGTAAAAGTAGGTCAGTAACTGAAGGGGGATGGTGGGTCAGGAGAGATTTACTTCATCTGGTTTGGTTTTAAGACAAGAGGCAATAAGACACGTTAATGTTTTGATCAGAACCATTCAGTTTTGGAGGGAGAAATCAGTGATGCAGGAGTAGAAAGTCTTCGGAGGTGGCAGCAGGTAGATTCAGAAGACATGCCATATGTCATTAGAGACTGCAGAGTCCATTTTTGTTTTCATTTTAAAATTTCATTTTAGAGACAGGGTCTTGCTCTGTTGCTCGGTCTGGAGTACAATGGTACGATCATAGCTCACTGTAAGTTCAACATCTCGATCTCAGGTGATCCTACTGCCTCAGCCTCCTAAGTAGCCAGGACTACAGATGCACACCACCACACCCAGCTATTTTCTAAAATTTTTGTGGTGGCACCAGGCTTGGTGACTCAGCCTGTAATCCCAGCACTTTGGGAGGCCAAGGCTAGTGGATTGCCTGAGTCCCCGGTTCAAGACCAGCCCGGGCAACTTGGCAAGACCTCATCTCTACAATAAATAAAAAATTAGCTGGGCGTGGTAGCGTGCACCTGTAGTTCCGGCTACTTGAAAGGCTGAGGTGGAAGGATTGCCTGAGCCCAGCGGGTCAAGGCTGCGGTGGCCGTGAGCATGCCACTGCACTTCAGCCTGGGCGACAGAGTGAGACTCCAACTCAAAAATAAAAAATAAAAAAAAATTGTAGTGGCAAGTTCTTGCTGTGTTTCCCAGACTGGTTTTGAACACCTAGCCTCAAGCAATCTTCCCACCTCGGCCTCTCAAAGTGCTGGGGTTATAGATGTGAACTACTTACTATACCTGGCCTGGTTTATTTTATTTACTTACTTTTGAGTTGGGGTCTCACTCTTTTGCCCAGGCTGGGCTTACCACTGCCTCAAACTCCTAGGCTCAAGTAATCCTCCTGGCTCAGCCTCCTGAGTAACTGGGAGTACAGGCGAGCCACCATACCTGCTAATTTTTTTGATTTTTTTTTTTTTTTTTTTTTTTGTAGAGACGAGTTCTCACTATGTTGCTTAGACTGGTCTGGAACTCCTGGCTCAAGCAGTGCTCCTGGGATTACAGGTGTGAGCCACTACACTCAGCCCCAGTTTATTTTTAATATAGGATTTTTTAAATGTGTTAGAGTTCTTTTCCAAAATGGGCTCTCAGAATTTACCATAATGATGTATATTGTTGCATGCTGAATTAAAAACATAACTGCTTCTGTTATTTGGTGAAATTTGATTTGTTTATAAAGTTCTCTTAGTTACTCTCCATTTGATGGATATTTTTTCTTTTCAGTTGACAAGTCATAATTGTACATATTTATGGGATACAGAGTGATGTTTTGATACATGTATATAATATGTAATGATCAAATCAGAGTAATTAGCATATCCATCGCTTCAAACATTTATCATTTTTTGTGTTGAGAATATTCAAAATCCTCTCTTCTTTTTGAAAGTAAACAGTAAATTATTCATTGTTTTCACCCTGAAGTACTACAGATTACTAGAACTTATTCCTTCTACCTAACTGTAATTTTGTATCTGTTAGCCAACCTCTCCCTGTCCTCCCTTCCCACCTGCCCTTCCCACTCTCTAGTAACCACAGTTCTACTCTCTTCTGTAAGTGTGGTAGTTACTTTTCTTGCTTGACATATTTCACATAATGTCCTCCAGACTCACCCATGTTGCTGTGCATGCTGAATATTTTTTAAAGCTAGTTTTTAAAATGGTATCTAAAAGACTCATGCCATCCTTGCCCCCTGTCATCCTAAAACAGGAATGTGACATGAGCTTAGCTGGGAAGTCAGCACTGAATGACTTTGAGCTCAAATAAAGGAGCATTTGATTCCTTGCTGTAACTTGATCCTTCATAATTGGGGAATTTTGGATTTCAGCACCTGCAGCTGATGCTTTTTTTTTTTTTTTTTTTTTTTGAGTTGGAGTCTCACTCTGTCACCCAGACTGGAGTGCAGTGGCCGCTCCCGGCCACCGCAGCCTCAACCTGCTGGACTCCGGCGATCCTTCCACCTCAGCCTTCCAAGTGGCCGGAATTACAGGCATGCGCTACCACGCCCTGCTGATTTTTTTTGATTTATTGTAGAGATGAGGTCTCGCTGCCCAGGTGGGTCTCGAACCCGTGGGCTCAGGCAATCCACTCACCTCAGCCTCCCAAAGGCGCGGGATTACAGGCTGAGCCACCGAGCCCGGCTAACAGCTAATCCTTTTAAAAGACATGATACTGTATGCTATCACATATCATTCTGGCCTAATGTCAAACAAAAACAATTTTTGTTTGTTTATTTTGTTTTTGTTTTTTGAGTTAGAGTCTCACTCTGTCACCCAGGCTGGAATGCAGTGGCATACTCACAGTCACCTCAGTATCGACCTGCTGGGCTCAGGCAATCCTTCTGCCTCGGCCTTCCAAGTAGCCAGAACTACAGGCGCATGCTACCATGCCTGGCTAATTTTTTATTTATTGTAGAGATGAGGTCCCGCCACGTTGCCCGGTCTGGTCTTAAACCCACGGGCTCAGGCAGTCCACTCGCCTTTGCCTTCCAAAGTGCTGGGGTTATAGGCTAAGCCACTGAGCCTGGCAAAAACAATTTTTTAATAGCATTATATTCTACATTAGATTACATACATAAAATTTCTCTTTGACTTATGTAGGGACATGGTGTGGCATCTGTATTCTTCTTAAAATGGACAAGTGTGACTCTAGCTATTCTTGTTGTATTGAAAGCATGGAACCTAGAGTAGTTCCCAAACAAAATATTTTGCTGTTCCAGCATTACCGCTGTGTTTTGTTAAAATTAATTTGACATCATTTCAAGAAGTTCAGAGGAATCTTTTTCCCACGGTGCTCTAGGATACTCATTCAGGCCTATTTTACTTCTTCTTTTACTTTTCCTTAAATATAAATTGGTCCAAAGGAAAAGATCTTGAGCTAGACTGTTAGAGACATAATCTTACATTGTTCTGTTTGCTGGACAAAAAAAAAGAATTGTTGGAAGAGAATCGTTAACAGCTATAGTAAAACAACCTAATAAAGTCTCAGTCTGTGTTTTGTAAACAATTTTGGATTCACTGTTTTTATAATCAACAAGGCCCTTCCTATAGTATAACCCCTCATTTTTGGAGTTTTTTTTTTCCTTTTCTTTTGTAGCTTGTCTTACTTTCTACATTTTGATAATTAAACAAGCATACCGATGACTTAGTAGGTGCCATGTAAGGCTCAGATCTGGCCTTTTAACTTTAAACTAAAATTGTTGTTTTTTTTAGTTCACCCAAATTCACCCTGTTACTTGCTCTGTAATTATAACTTTAAGTCGTAGTATGCCTAGATTTTCCATAAGAATAATGCTAAACTTCTTAATTTCACTGAGATGATGTTCTGTCATCTCATTAAGGCCTGTGCCTTTGCCAATTGCCATTTCTGTGACTTAGAATCCATTGACTCTTTCTGTCCTCTAGTCTGTTGCTTCTCAAACTTTAATGGCCATATATTACCAAATGGGGACCTTGTGAAAATGTAGACTTTGGTTCAGGACTAAGGCAGGGCCCAAGATCTCACCTTTTAAAAGCTCTCAGAGGTTTCTGATGTCACTGATCTCTAGACCATATTTGTAGTAACAAGAATCTTGACTCCCTGGCTCACTCATAGTCATCTATATTATTTCTTCTGACTCCTCCCTCTAATTCCCATCAGTACACTTAATTGTTCTTTTTCCAGTGATGCCATTACACAGTATATACTTTCATTATATCTCTTATTATTATTTAGATATCTACCTCCCCACTCAATTCCAAGTTTTTTGCCTACATGGACTGTCTTTCACTCCCGTGTATCCAAAACCTTTAGCAGAAGATAGACTTTTAACAGATAATTATTGCTGAATAGATGGTGTCATTGCAGCCTTTTTACAGTTATACAGGCGTATATGTACTGGATATTAAGACTGTTGTTATTTTAATTATTTGATTGAAAAGAAAGTGAATCATGAACCTGAATTACTTTTTTTCTATAGTCCCTTTTTAGATGGGGGAAAAAAGCCTCAAATGTGCCTCAGCCAAAGGTATTTGCTTGAAAATAATATTCCAGCCTTCTGTACAAACAAAACATTTTGAAGTCTGTATGATAACATATAGTATTTCTCAAGATAATTTTGTGGAAGTTTTTTTAGCAAACTAATGACCATTTACTTTTGTTTTTACCCAAGGAGAAGTACAAATGTCTACCACAAGACGAAAACGTAGTATGTTATGTTGTTTACCGTAAGCTGTAGTAAAATGAGCTCGATTGTTGACAGGTATGTTTTTAGAGACTCTTATTTTGAATTATATAAAGCTTTTAAAAAACTCACTACTAGAACAAGGGTCTATATCAAACTGGTAGAAGGAGGGAGTTTTATTCTTAAACATAATTACTGTTACATTCAGTTTCTATATTGAATAATAAGCATGGTGTAAGAGTAAGGTACATTAGGATTTTCTAGAGCCAAAGTCAACAGCATATGGCTTGTGTTTAAATGAGTCTTGAACTGTAATTCTGAGTGATTTGGTCTTAGCTGCTCTGAAGGAAATTCTGACAGTTGCAAATGTTTTCTTGGCACCTTCTGGAGTCCTTTTTCTCCTTATCTCTTGGTGCTAACTTCATTCCTTCAAGTATCTTAGCATTTGTGACTGTTAAGGGGTAACTCCAGTTAGGATTTCATTAGTTAAAACTGTAATCTTTAAAACTTACTCTTGGGAAAAGGGTAAAGCTCCTTATTGCTTTGATTTTTAAGACTCTTAATTTGGTTTTTGCATTTTAACATCTCTACATTCAATGAGTCATTTGGCTTGTCATAATTTAATTAGTAGCACTTTTTTTTTCTCCTTAGTGCACATAAAATAGTGGTGAGTATTAACAGTCAAGAGAATCTTAAATTTGTTGCAGTACAGTAACATTTTTAAAGTATTCACTCTTTGTGAATGTACAGAGTACATTTTATATGTTCTTTCATTAAGCCTCATAATCATCTCATAAGAGTTTACAGATGAGGGAACTGTAGGTCAGAGAAGTTAAATAACTTGTTTAAAGTCACATAGCCAGTAAGAGGTGAGCTGGAATTTTGACCTGTGTTGGTCTGTCTCACATTGAAGTTACTACTTTCATTATACTTGATTGTATGATTTGTCCATTGGGAATTCTTTAAGAATTTTGCACCTAGATTTTATACAAAAGTGACTTTTTAGATCTAGGGGCACCTCTCCTCCCTATTTATGAGCTAAATAATAAAGATATATACTCTACTGGAGCTTAAGACCTGAGAGGCAAGACATTTCCATAAAGAGGGCTGCCTGTACCATGGCCATAATTTTGGACTGTGTGTATTTGCAGATGGGAACTATGATAGACTTCTCTTCACTGTCCTGGAGGGGAAAAATACAATTTTGGCACTGTGCTTCTGAATGCTTGCCAGTTTGCATTCTGGACAATACAATATCTAGGGGTAACATCTATGTTCAGACATAAAGCAGTGGTTATTATTAATATGGGTTCTTTATCTCCTAGTATCAAAGTTATGGGCTCTGTCCTCAGAAAAATGCATATACCCACACAATTTTTCAGACATTTCAGAGCATATGTGGAGTCCCAAAAGTCCAGACATGGCCCTTCATGTTATAAGTGCTGCAAATGGTCTCAGTAGGGAGTCCTGCTTTATAGGCCACAGAAAGGGACAGCTAAAGACATGGATAGTGAATTCATGCAGAAGCTCATAAATCACCGAAACTGTTATGTTCCTTCTTAGGTTAAGGAGGAACCATCAGTGCTCTTGATTTCAGTTAGAGGATGTTCTTGCCTTACAACTTCCTGCAGCCAGCCCATTGCTATCACTTAGATTTTGGCTGAAATATCTCCACCTCAACAAGTACTTTCCCAACCACTTAGACTAAAGTAACTACCTAGTAACTAAAATATCACCCCTTTTTAATAATTAAAACTTACCACACATTTTTATGTTTGTTTCTTTCTACTGGAAAGTAAGTTATAGGAGAGCAGTCCAGTGTCTTGTTCTCTGCTCTATAACTACACCTAGCATAGAGCCTGGCACATGAGTGCTAGTGTTTGTCTTATGAATCAGTAAATGAATGAAATGTATTCATGTAAGTTAATGTGCTAGATCCTGTGGTTTTATGAACAGTCTGTGGTTTTATAAAGTGAATATCTCAAAAAAATTTAAATCATGTTATTATAGTTAAGAAAAATAATTTCTAGCAAATACTTTTTAAAAATTTATTAATTTTTTTAGCAAATACTTTTATATAATGGCAAATATGCTGAATTTCTATAGGTTTTCACTGATTACTAAAGGTTTAAAACAAGATATTTAAACTAGCTAAATTCTTTTTTTGTATGTTGCTGTATACACAGTATAGCTAAGTCTGAATACTTTAAAAGTTATAGATGTAATAAACTTTTAAATGTAATTAAGTATTGCTAAATTTTGATTTTCTAATAATTATTAGAAAACAGGTTAGTAGTTTGAATTTGTATAATCCATTAACTTTAGAAAAATCTTAAGCTATAACTGAGTGGGTTTACATATTTTATTATTGCTGTTGTTTAGTGAGTCTAACTTAACATTTTATATCTACTTTTTTTTTTCTTTTAGAGATGACAGTAGTATTTTTGATGGTTTGGTGGAAGAAGATGACAAGGACAAAGCAAAAAGGTAGTTTGATTTGAGATGTAAACTAATAAATGAATAATAAATAATAAATAAATAGTAAATCAGTGATTTCCAAAAGCTCTCTGCTGAAAGAATTTAGCTATATCAGCAAGGTAGAATTGCTTAGAATATCAGTATGCAGTTTATAAATTAAATTGTCCTCTAACCTTTTGGAAAAGTATTATGCTTTGCTTAAACAAAAACTGAATTAGGAAGTCTGACTTCACAAAGCAGATAATTAGAGGTATTCTAAAATTATTAACTGCTTTATGGACAGCTGGGTTTATTTGCCTCAAGAGCTTTTTATTTACTGGTTACTGCTTCACATAGAAAAACAGTAATCATTCATGTAATACATATATTTTGGATGCTTTCTATTTGCTAGATGTTATGCTTAAGTGCTTAGATGACAAAACTTGGGGGCTCTGTTATCCAGGAGTCAATGTCCTAATGGAGAGAAAGATCTGCAAAAAATGGTTATTGCTGTGTGTCGGGGGCTGGGGTGTAGGAGTGTAGAGGAAGAGTGAGTGAGTAACCCTGGCAGTAGAGAGAATTTTATTACTAGATTTCTGTTTAGGATGTAAAACTTACATTTAGGCTGGACATGATGGCTCATGTCTGTAATCCCAGGGACACTAGGAAATTGAGATGGGAGGATCAATTGAGCCCATGAATTTGAGACCAGTCTGAGCAACATGGCAAGACCCCATCTCTATAGAAAATTAAAACAAAACAAACACACACAAAAAGCTTACATTAGATGGATAGCTTTCTTCTGTTCAATAATTTATATTTATATATTGTATGTACTTTCACAAAATGTATCTCCTTAATGCTTGTAATAACCATATAAATTTACAGTCTTTGGCAAATATTAGATTAAATAAAACCTGTGACTTGAATGCAGTTAGTTTTAGTGGGATTTTTATAAAAACATGTATGTCAAATGCTTGACATATAAGTTTCTTTAGTGATAAACTGAGATGAAAAATTATTGCCAAAATTAACTGCACATTTTTGGTAACCTAGGAAACAAATATTACCATCTATATTGACACAAGTACATGCTATGTCATGTTCAGATTGCATTGTGTCAAACTGTTCATGTAATTAAATGGATTGTTCAAAAAACTGCTTATTTAATTTCTTATTTTATCAGAGTATCTAGAAACAAATCTGAAAAGAAACGCAGAGATCAATTTAATGTTCTTATTAAAGAACTGGGATCCATGCTTCCTGGTAATGCTCGAAAGATGGACAAATCTACTGTTTTGCAGAAGAGCATTGATTTTTTACGAAAACATAAAGGTAAATTTTTAAGTTTGTAAAATGGGTGGTATTTTTTGTAACAGACTCCTCCTTAAAGCATAATGAGCTAGAATCTTGGCAGAGATGCTCAAGATTGAATGCTTCCTCAGCTTTTTAAGAGAAAGAAATCAATTGCTTTTTTAGAGATTTCCTAGAATGTTCTTTGTTTCATTCAACAAACGTTTATTTAGTGACTAGTAAATCCTCGTGATGTATAGTAACAGTCCTGGCTCTCAAGTAAGTCAAAGCAGGGGAAACAAACATGTAAGCACATGATTACACTACAGATAAGTATAATGTGAATAGTGCTTGTAAACCATAAACTTGCAGCAAGAACACAGAAGAAGGAACGTGTTAGGGAAGGCTTTACAATAGTTGATTTTTCAAGTGAGTCTTTAAGTATGGAAGACATTTCATACAGACGAAATATGTGCAAAAACAGAGAGGCAGGGAAACTTTGTTGTAATCAGAGCATGTTTGTGTTAGAAAAGTATAGGTTTTTTGTTTTTTGTTTTTTTTTAAGAAAGCAAGATTTATTGAGAGTACAGAAGAGCTCCCATAGTGAGAGGGGACCTGAAGGGGTTGCCCTATAGGTGTATTTTAAAGAAAGGAAAGAACTAGATCATGTAAGGGTCGTATATGTCTTTTTTAAAAGGTTATTTCAGTATGTATCTAGGAAGTAAACACTATGATTTAAAGTATTTATTAATTGAAGAAAATCACCTTGACTAAATGAGTCATGGAAAGAAAATTTAAAGAATATTAAGTATTTTGGGGCTGGACACAGTGACTCACACCGGTAATCCCAGCACTTTTGGCGGCAGAGGTGGAAGGATTGCTTGAGCCCAGGAATTGGATACCAGCCCAGGCAACAAATAGAGACTTTGTCTCTACAGAGAAAAACTAGCCAGGTGTGGTGGTGTGCGCCTGTAGTCCTAGCTACTCAGGATGCTGAGACGGAAGGATCACTTGAGCCCAGGAGTTCAAGGCTGTGGGGAACCGTGGTCGTGCCACTAAACTCCAGCCTGGACAACAAAATGAGATCCTGACTCAAAAATAAAATAAAATTTTCAAAAAGAATATTAAGTATTTTGGTAACAGATAATAGATTTAAAAGCCTATAAAAGGACATTTCCCTCTTTATAAGCAAATGAAACTACAAACTTCCAAAGGTCAGTTAGTAACTGGTACCTCTATTTACTATTCCCTAGCTCACTTGGTCATGCCTTACCAGATTGGTTTATGCTCTGTCACTCTGAAATTATTTTTGTTAATTTCACTAATAACTTTGCTTTCGCCCCAAGCCCCCAAATGAAGCAGTGGTTTTTCTTGTACCTCATCCTCTTCTCATCTCTATAGTGCTGGAGATGGTGGCCCTCCCTTTGCCTTTTTTCCCCTTGGCTTTTGTTATATTGCACTATCACCTCCCCTTTTCTAACTGAAACCACGTTCTCTCCTCCCTCTTTTTCTACCCCCTAAATGTGGCATTTCTCAAATTCTTATCCTTGTTCTCTTGCTTTCCGCACACTCTTTCACTTGGTTATCTCATTTTAGAGCTCTAGCTGTTGTGTCTCTATTAGCCCTGTATTTCCACATAACTGTAGCTCTTTCTTTTGCAGATTCTCAAACTCAGTGCATTCATTTTGAAACTGAATTCATTTTGTAAAGTCATTTAGTTCTCATAACTTTCTTTTTTCATTTTTATATCACCATCCTTTTAGTCACTTAGGACTCAAATTGGAAAAAACTTGAGGTTTTTTTTTTTTTTTAACTTCCTTAGTATCATATCACAATTGCCAGATTCTGTTGATTCTTTTGTAAATGTGTCAAAATTGCTTAACTTCATGATTATTGTTATTTATCATTGCATTTTACCTCTACAAATAGAATTGATTGTTAGATGGCACACTTAATTGAAGTCAGTCCCTAAAGCAGTAGGAGTTCAATAAATGATTTGTTGAATGAAATGAAATGAAGTGATGCATTTCCTCCTGACAGTAGAGGATGAATTTGGGCATTAAGTAGGTTTTTTTTTTTCTTTTTTTCAAAATTGGATATATAAGTGTCACAAAAATAATATTTATGTTAAGGTAAAAAGGAATTCTCATAAAGTTATCATTCTAAAAGAGGCCTGTGTTTAAAGTCTTTTCTCAAATATACATAATTGTTGTGAGTTTGAAAAGCACAACTATATTCCACAAATTTAGTAGCTGAATTTTTTAGTTGCTCTTCATATCCCAGTACAGGCATTTCTAATATGCCACATTTTGAGTGACAATTTAATATACTGTATTTATATAACTGATTAAAAAAATCAAAACAACTTAGTCCAAACTTTTTACTACAAAGCAGAGCATAATTATATAGAATATAATCTATGACATAGATTTTTATTCTGCCTGGCTGTTTTAATATGTCTGCATTTAAAAATGGAAAAGCATTTGTTGCCTAAACAGTTCAGGTTTCGTCATTTATGAGTAGCTTTCTCATAACTAAATCTGTTAGAAGTATATAGCAAACTAAAATAGTAATAATTGTTACAAAATGTGTGTCCCAAGGCCAGTATCTCTAGCTCTCTACCCCTAAGAACATGTACAAAGAGGACATTAAACAAAATCATGCTGGGAATATTGTTGTACAGTTTTTGCTCAAAATATTAATTTAGTCTCCTTGATTAGTTGAGATAGAGCACTTAGAATTGGGAGGAGTCTTTTTGCCCAGCAATAGGCCAGCCTAAGGTCTTTTTTGAAAGCAGACTGACTGTCTGCCTTTGTTCCTCCAGGCTCACCTCCTTATGTCTGCTTTAGATATTGCCACTTGAATGGCAAGGAAAGGAAAGGGGAAAAAAGAATTTCTTCAGAATGCTTGGAGTAAACTTTCTCTAATCTTGCTCTGATTCTTGTTTGGTTCTTGTGTCAAATAGGATGCATGTTGTTGACATGCTTGTTGGCAACAGTGACTGCCAGAGCTCCTCAGAGAAAAATCCCAGACTGGCCATTCTAGGAGACCAAGTCTAAGGAGATAACTTGCTACATTAGCTGAAGGATTTCCTCATACCAAAACCTGGGCTTTCTGATACCTAGACCAATAAATGTTACTGCCTGTGGTTCTCATCTTTGATTAGTGTGGGAAGAGGGAAGGCAACTCATAGGACTTTTGTACTCCCTCCATAGTTGGAGCATGCTACTAATGTGTCTATTTGTTTACAGAAATCACTGCACAGTCAGATGCTAGTGAAATTCGACAGGACTGGAAACCTACATTCCTTAGTAATGAAGAATTTACACAGTTAATGTTAGAGGTATGTCCAGATTTAATTTTTGGAAATTTTATTGTCCTCAAGAAGGAAATTGCAGGGTGACAAATTTTATTATTACAGACATACCTTGGAGAAATTTCAGGTTCAGTTCCAGATTACTGAAATAAAGCAAATATGACAATAAATTAAGTCACATGAATTTTTATATGCCCAGTGCATATAAAAATTGTTTATACGATGTAGTAGGCTATAAAGTATATAAGCATTAAGTCTAAAAAACCAATGTATATACCTTAATTTGAAAATATTTTATGCTAAAAAAAGCTAATGATCATCTGAGCTTTCAGCAAATCATAATCTTTTTGCTGGTGGAAGGTCTTGCCTGTGTTGACGACTGCTGACTCATCCAGGTGGTGGTCACTCAAGGTTGGAGTGGCTGGAACAGTTTTATAAAATAAGACAACAGTGACATTTACTCTCTTTTTTTAATGAAAGATTTCTCTGTAGCATGAGGTGCTGTTTGACAGCATTTTGCCTGCTTTATAACTTTGAAAATTTGAGTCAGTCTTCTCAGATCCTGTTTTATCAACTAAGGTTGTAGAATATTCTAAGGTCTCTGTTGTAACTTTAACAATGTTCCCAGCATTTTCACCAAGAGTAGATTCCATTTTAAGAAACCACTTTCTTTATTCATTCATAAGAAGCAATACCATATCAATTAAAAGTTTTACCATGAGATTGTGGCACTTCAGTCCCATCTTCAGGCTCCTCTTCTAGTTCTAGTTCTCTTACTGCTTCCACCACATCTGCAGTGACTTCCTCCCCTGGAACCTTGAACCTCTTAAAGTCATCCATGAGAGTTGAAATTAGCTTCTTCCAAACTCCTATTAATGTTGATATTTTGACCTCCTATGAATCATGATTATTATTATGGCATCTAGAATTTTCTTTGCTCAGATCCATCAAAGAATCACTGTCTTTGGCAGCTATAGCCTTATGAAATTGTATTCCTAAATAAGACGACTGGAAAGTCAGAATTACTCCTTGATCCATGAGTTGCAGAAGGGATATTGTGTTAGTGGGCATGGAAAACATCATCACTATCAGACTTCTTGGGTGACTAGGTGCATTGTCAATGAGCAGTCTGTATTTTCAAAGGAATCTTTTTCTCTGATCAGTAGATCTCAACAGCGGACTTAAAATATTTAGTAAACCATGCTGTATACAGTTATGCTGTCATCCAGGCTTTTTTGTTCCATTTATAGAGAAGGAGAATGAATTTAACACACTCCTTAAGGGCCCTGGGATTTTCAGAATGGGAAGCGAACATTGACTTCCACGAAAAGTCACCGGTTGCATTAGTCCCTAACTAGAAAGTCAACCTGTGCTCTGAAGCCAAGTCCTGACTTCTCTGCTCTAGCTTTGAAAGTATCACATGGCATCTTCTCCCATTAGAAAGCTGTTTTGTCTTCATTTGAAAGTTTGTTGCTTAAGGTAGCCACCTTTACCCATGATCTCAGCTCAATCTTCTGGAGAACTTGCTGCAGCTTTCACACCAACACTTGCCATGTCACTTTGTACTTGTATGTGATGGAGACAGCTTCTTTCCTTAAACTCATGAGCCAACCTCTGCCAGCTTCCAACTTTTCTTCTGCAGCTATCTCACCTCTCTCAGCCTTCACAGAATTGAAGAGAATGAAGACCTTTCTCTGGATCAGGCATTGGCTTTAGGGAGTTAGGGCTGTTTGAACTTCTGTCCAGGCCACTCAGACTTCCTCCCTGTCAGCAACGAGGCTGATTTGCTTTCTTAACACTCGTGTGTTCCCTGGGCGAGCACTTTTAATTTCCTTGAAGACCTTTTCTTTTTCATCCTCAACTTGGCTGATGGGCACCAGAGGATTAGCTTTTGGCTTCTCTGGACTTTTTGCCTGCCTTCCTCATTGAGTACGATCTTGTCTAGCTTTTGATTGAATGTGAGGGATGTGTGACTCTTCCCTTCACTTGAACATTTAGAGGCCATTGTAAGATTGTTAATTGTCCTAATTTCAATCTTGTTGTTGTTTCAGAACAGGGAAGCTGAGGAGAGGAAGAGAAACGGGAATGGTCCGTCCACAGAGCAGTCAGAACACAACATGTATTGATTAAGTTTACTTCGTAGATGGGCGCTGTTCATGATGTCCCAAAACAATTACAGTAGTAACATCAATGATCACTGATCACCATAACAAATAGAATAATAATGGAAAGGTTTGAAATATTGTGAGAATTACCAACATGTGATAGAGACACGAAGAGGGCACGTGCCGTTGGAAAAATGGCACCAATAGACTTTGCTCCACTCAGGGTTGCCACATACCCTCATCTTGTAAAAAAAAATGCAGTATCTGCAAAGTGTAATAAAATGTGGAGCACAGTAAAACCAGGTGTGCCTACATGTATGTGCAATGGCTACGTCTCAGATGTTTTTGTATATTTACTAAAGTTTGTAGGAAGATCAGAGAATTTTCAAATTATTGAGTTATTTTTCTGTCTAGTTGGGACAGTTAACTGCTGGATTAAGTCTTTATGTATTCAGCAGAAATGTTCCTATATGGAAATATGTTGGAGTATAAATATGTTGTAAACACTTTAAATCTGAAAAATAAGTGAGCACTTTTCACATATTAACTCGTTGAATCCTTACAACACTCTTAGGAAGCAGACACTTGTATCTAGTATCTGTGTGTCATAATAACCAGTGTTATGAAGGAGACATTAGTGTCTCTTTCTTGCTTTCAGATGAGGAAATCAAGGAACCAAAGGGATTATGAAACTTGCCCAGAGTCACCCAGCTAGGAAGTGACTCCGCGGGGACTTATTGCAGGCTGGCAGCTTCTGATCCCATGCCCTTAGCTATGTGCACACACCTTTCACCAACGTTTTCTTTTCAGTGAAAGCTAGTCATGGCACAGAACTTTGAGCTTAATAACCAGTATTTAGCACTTTAAATTAGTGTGTACTTAAGTTACAAACAAAATAATTTTGTTCATTTTTTTTCCCTCAGAAAAGTAGATTGACGTTGTCCAAAATTTATTTCTTTATTTCTTTGACATTGTTCAAAATTTACTCTGACAACAAGTACAGTTGTCACTTGGTATATGTGGGGGATTGGTTTCTGGACAAGCCCCCCACCCTCACACATACAAAAACTCACATACACTCAAGACCCACACTCAGTCCTGCCGAATCTGAATATATGAAAAGTTGACCCTCCATATACCACGTGTTGCCTTCTGTAAATACTGTGTTTTCCATCCACTTTTGGTTGAAAAAAATACATGGACACATACAGTGCAAACCCATGATCAAGAATCAACTGTGATATTTTTATGAAAAATGTTCAAAACTAATATGCATAACAAAGAAAGGAAATAAGTACGTTATTCTTTAATATTTATTTTGTGGTTATATTCTCAGTGCAGCTTTTAAATAAGATCTTCTGTGTTAGTCATAAACTATTTACTTACCCTACCTTATTGCCATAAAAAATTCCTTATAAATAAAAAAATTGGTATAATATCTACCATCATTTAGTGATAACCTTAATATAGGTCAATTGCCTGTTCAGTAACATGCTAAAATATTAATTTTTTTCATAACAGATTTTTAAAAATTAGTTGCCAAGGCACTTAGTACATGCATAGATAAATATCAAAGATTTTAGGGATTATAGCATTATTTATCACATACAACAGAGAAAACTTTAAATGTATTAAAAATTTTGAAAATATAAATTCTCATGATTATTTTCACGGCTTTTAGGTTAAGATTCCTGAAGAAATGCTGCAGTTATCTGTTTTTAATGTCGAGTATTTTTGACTTTTCATATGTACAACTACTAAGTAAATGTACATTTTAGCTTTAACATGCCAAGACAAAGTATATGCATGTGGGTGTGTATATATTGCGACCTGGGTTTAGATGTTTGCTCAAACTTGAGCTACATACCTCATTAAAGTCTTTGCAAGTCTGCTGATTGACTATGAAAAAAACTGATTCATAATTTAAATAGAACCTTCTTTGTTTGAGGAAAGTCCACTTGGCTAGAATATAAGCTAGTTGTATATTCTTGGCTAGTAACATTGATCCTATTACAGATAAATAGTCCACATTAACACTCAGCAGAGTTTTTGACGTAGGCTGTATCTTGGAATGCTAGAGCTGCTAGTATAGCAGATTGGATCATTTAGCTCAGCCTCTTCATTTTAGAAATGAGGCTCAGAGGAGTTACAACTTGTCAGATATCTAATGGAAAAACTGGCACTAAGATCTTCACTCACGTGTTAAGATTGTCATTGCCACCTGCCTTCTCCCTCTTGTCTCTCTTGCCTGAGGAATCTTTCTTGCTGTCCTTGGAGGATTTGGGGTAGGAAAGACAGTTAGAACAGCTTAGCTTGGTCAGATCTCTGCATCTCTATGCGAAATCACCTCTTAATATGGACAGTAATCTCCTCATATTTGCAGTTTCCTTTCCATAGTTTCCATTGTCCTGTCAACAGTGATCTGAAAATATTAAGTAGAAAATGCCAGAAATAAACAATTCATAAGTTTTAAATTGCACACTTGATGGACTCTCATGACGTTCTATGAGAATCATCCCTTTGTTCAGCTTAAAACATGCTGTGGACACTACTCGCCCATTAGCCACTTAGCAACTGTGTTGGTTTTCAGATAAACTTGTGGTATCTCAGTGCTTGTGTTTAAGTAATCCTTATTTGACTTACAATAATGGCCACAAAGCACAAGAGTAGTGGTGCTGGCAATTTGGAGATGCCAAAGTGAAGCAGTAAAGTGCTTCTGTTAAGTAAAAAGGTGAAAGTTCCTGACTTGAAAGAAAAAGAAATCTTCAACTAAAGTTGCTAAGATCTACAGCAAGAAAAAAAATCTTCTACCCATGGAATTGTGGAGAAGAAAAAATAAATGTGTGGATAATAGTATATATAGAGTTCAGTATTATCCATAGTTTCGGGTATCCACCAGAGGTCTTGGATCTTACCCTCCTCAGGTAAGGGAGGAACAACCATAGTCCTTTCCCCTTGGCAGCTAGCAACTCTCTGCAGTCATCCACAAGGAAAGGGCTAGTGCTGTGCATCAACCTCATCATGGCTGCAGGTCTTCAAGGTGGCATTGTCTTCTTCTCTAGAACCTCCATTCCAGTCTTCCCCAGACGAAACAGTCACCAAACAAGCAGTGTTGGTTTACACAATCCTCTTGTTGTGGGTCAAGTAGATATCAAACAGAAGGACAAGGAGTTTTAATTCATGAATCCTTTCCCTCTCTTATCATACTATGTGCGGATGGTATAAGCTTCATAGTCTTTGGTCTTGGGATGAGAATGTTCTCTTTCTGTCTCTTCTATATTTCTCTACTCTTCCTCATAAAGACTCTCCTGAAGGCCCCTTTAGTTTTTGGAATACTCACTTGCCTTCTAGAAAGATTATACCCCTCCATCCAAAAGAAGTCAGCCTTGGATCCTTTCGTACATTGAGACTTCTATGCTTGCTTCAGCAGCACATACACCAAGATTGAAGTGATACAGAGAAGATGAGCATGGCCCCTGCGCAAGGAAGAGACCAAGTCCGTGAAGTGTTCCATATTTGTTGGGAAAAAAAGACTTCAGCAAAATACTACTTAGAGGGTTTTTTTCTACTTAGTCTTTGCCTGTTTTGAAAGAAGAAAGGGCAGGCCTTAGTTTCAGAAGTGGTATTAAGTTTGAGTTCTGATTTCAGTTCTCTTCACAGAAGAGAGTGCATATAATAATGTCTCCAAAGATTCCTAGTAGATATCGTAAGAGCAATTATATATCATCATAGTAAATATTAATTTGCTTTCAAAGGTGACACAGTCTAGCCTCATATGAGAAAATCGGTTATCTTCTTTAACATCATTTTGACCCTTTTCTTTATGAATTAATAATATTCATGTTATTATACTAGAGTTTTTTTAAAAAATAAGTCATTAATTTGCTAAAATTAGAAGATTTTCACCTTTCCCCTATGTTAGCCAAGAATTTGTCTGAGCCATTCTAAGAGATAGACATCTACTTAAAAAAGTTCTTTCTGGTATCCAGATCTCAAGATCTCTTTCCCAATGGTGTAGGTGACTTTTTCTTTTCAACAGTTTATATTCAACAATTGCATATAGTTAGAGGATAGTTGCTCTGACTCCCAGGTCTGTAAATTCTGTACTATGGGCAACCCTTTCAGGTCCCCTCCCACTGTGGGAGCTTTTCTGTCCTTCCAATAACTCCTGCTTTCTAAAAAAAAAAAAAACAAAGTTCTATGCTATAAGTTTATTGTTTTTGTTTTTTTTTGAGTTGAAGTCTCACTCCGTTGCCCATACTGGAGTACAGTGGCCGCTTGCGGCCACCGCAGCCTCGACCTACTGAGCTCCGGCGATCCTTCTGCCTCAGCCTTCCAAGTAGCTGGAACTACAGGCGCGTGCTATCACGTCCAGCTAATTTTTTGATTTATTGTAGAGATGAGGTCTCGTCAAGTTTCCCAGCTGGGTCTCAAACCCACGGGCTCAGGCAATCCACTCACCTCAGCCTCCCAAGGCGCGGGATTACAGGCTGAGCCACGGAGCCCAGCTAAGCTTTTTTTTTTTACTTGTCCCACACTAGTGCTGCAGATTCTACAAATACAGGGATAAGTAAGATATTAACATTTCCTGTCAAAGGTTGCAGTCCTTTCTGAGAGCTCTTTATCCTACAAATATATATATATTTTTTTCTTTTCTTTTTTAATCTTACTCTGTCACCCAGGCTGGGTGCAGTGGCAAAGTCAGTCACAGGAACCTCAACCTGCTGGACTCAGGTGATCCATCCGCTTCAGCCTTCCAAGTAGCTGGAACTGTAGGCTTGTGCCACCATGCCCAGCTAATTTTTAAATTTTTTTTTATTGTAGAGATGAGGTCTCACCATATTGCCCAGGCTGGTCTTGAACCCCCGGGCTCTGGCAGTCCTCACGCCTTCACCTCCCAAAGTGCTGGGATTATAGGCATGAGCCACTGTACCCAGCTGGCCAGGGAAGTTTTAAAACAGAGTTTATTAGCAAGAAGAAAAGAAGGAAAAAGGAAGATTCATGGCAGAAAAACCAGCAAGGGGAAGTTTCTCAAAAAGAAAAATCATCCTGCAAATATTCTTGCTACTCTTTTTTTTCTTCAATGCCTTACCTTGACATTTAGCCCCCTTAATACTCTTGTCCTTTCTTCCCTTTTGAAGTTCATGAACAAGTGGTTTCTAATAACCTTGTGATCATCCACTCATTTTGAAACTCATTTTGAAACTCATTGCCTTGCCTTCCTGTTGACATGACTCTTTTGAAAATAATCAGAATTCATTTCTCTTATTCTTTATTCTGTTTGATTACATTGTACCCTCTTCCTCATCATTCACCTTGTCATCCTCTCTCCCACTGATTCTTTGACAACTGTGTATTCTACCTTCTCTGTTATTTTCTCTCCTCCTCATTCCTAAATGTAGATAATTCTTCCAAGGATTTGTCTTTGTGTGCTTCTCTCTTTTATAGATCTCATTTCTTCAGCTATCACTTCTGTTCCTGGGATTCCCAAATGAAAATACTTTATGATGCATAGAGTACAAGATTGCTGTGTTATTAAGTCTTGTATCCCCCACTCTGACTTATCTCTTGAACTCTAGCTTCACATTTTTCAGGGCTTGCTCAGGTCCATTCTTCTGTATTCCTGCTACTACTGATTTCATTTATATTTTCTTTAACTTCCCTAATTATTCCAAAAGCTACTGAGATTTTCCTAGCCCAGTTCTCTTTTCCCTCTAAATTCATTTCATACCCTTGTTTCTGGGCTTCTCTCACTGCAGCATCTCACCTTAAAATCACCTGTCGACTTCTCACTGTGTATAAAGTAAAGTTTTTATATCTTAACGTGATATGCAAAACTTTTCATGATCTGACCTCAGCTTAGTTTTTCAACTTAATTTCCTTCCACTCCATTTCACTTTATTCCCCACTTATCTCCCCTACATTCAAATAATACCCCTCTCTATTAACATATCCACATTGATAACACTGTTATTTTGTATGCCTAAACATATTATTGATGTGGTGTGTACTTTGCAGACATTATCATCTTCAAATAAGCTGTATACTCTTTACATATGGCTGGGTCATATAATAAACGTAGTGTTGAAAGTAGACTATTACCTTTTTAGAAACCAACTATCCAGTAGATGGCCAGAGAGTGATTTTTTTTTTTCTCCAGAAGCATTAAAAAATGCACAAAGATATATACTAAGATTTTTTAAAGGGAAAAGCTAGCATTTTGACAGTACTCTGGATATTTCCACTTTTAGTCCCTTGTCATTTATTTTAGTTTTTTATTTCTGTGCTGTGAAATACATTTCTTTTCATTTAACTGACCATTATGTTTAATTTCAGGCTCTTGATGGTTTTTTTTTAGCGATCATGACAGATGGAAGCATAATATATGTTTCTGAAAGTGTAACTTCATTACTTGAACATTTACCAGTAAGTATAACAATCCTATAATCTCTTTTGTGTTAAATGCCTATTGTAAATGTTCTAAAGCTCTAGGAAGTGGACTTTGAGAGAAGTGTTGAACAGTGTTTGCAGAGTGGGGATGAGAGCTCTAAGTATATCTTTGTTTAGCATGGCTGTGTTTTCTCTGGTCAGTCATGACTTTCTAATCTATAGTAACTTAATCTGCAATAACTACAGCTGTGTATCACTTGACATGTCTTCTGTGATATATTTGGTGATATAGTCTGAGGAATGCATTGTTAAACAATTTTGTTGTGCAAACACCATAGATTGTGCTTACACAAACTAGGTGTGCTGTAAAAGATTTAAAAATGATACACCTAAGCCAGGCATGGTGGCTCAAGTCTGTAATCCCAGCACTTTGGGAGGCCAAGGCAAGAGGAATTGCCTGAGCCCAGGGGTTGGAGACCAGCTTGGACAACTTGGTGAGACCGCATCTCTACAATAAAAATCAAAAAATTAGCTGGATGTGGTGGTGTACACCTGACGCCTGTAGTTCCAGCTCCTTGGAAGGTCGAGGCTGCGGTGGCCATGAGTGTGCCACTGCACTCCAGCCTGAATGACAGAGTGAGGCTCCAACTCAAAAAAATAAAATACAAATGGTACACCTGTCTAGGACCCTTACCACGAATGGAATGTGCAGGACTGGACGTTGCTCTGGGTGAGTTGGTGAGTGGTAGTAAGTGGATGTGAAGGCCTAGGATATTGCTGTGTAGTAGTATAGACTTTACAAAACTGTACACTTAGGCCACACTATTTAAACCTTTTTCTTTCTTTAATAATAAATTAATCATAACTTACTACAACTTTTTTACTTTACAGACATCTTCATTTTTAAACCTTCTGACTCTTTTTTAATAACACTTAGCTTAAAATACACACATTGTACTACTGTACAAAAATATTTTTTCTTTATATCCTTATTATATAAGCTTTTTTCTGTTAACTTTTTAAACATTTTTGTTAAAAATAAGGGCACAAACACACACATCCTTGCCTACACAGGGACAGTCAATATCACTGTCTTGTACGTCTTGTCCACACCTTCATGTCTTGTACCACTGGAAGATTTTCAGGGGCAATAATATGCATGGAGCTGCCATCTTTTATAATAACAATGCCTTCTTCTGGAATACACACTCCTGGAATAACTGTGTGTGTGTGTGTGTGTGTGTGTGTGTGTGTGTACATTCTAAAATAACCATAAAGAGTATGGTGTAGTAAATACATAAATCAGTAGCATAATCATTTATTATCATTATAGTGTATCATGCACTGTGTATATTAATTGTATGTACTAAATTTGTCTGTAAGTGGCAGCACAGTAGGTTTCTTTATACCAGCATCACCACCAGCATGTGAATAATGCATTGAGCTACAACATTAAGATGGCTGAGATGTCACCAGACGATAGGAGTTGTTTGGCTCTTTTGGAATCTTATGGGGTCACTGTCATGTATGTGGTCTGTCACTGACTGAAACGTCTTGCTGTGGTATATAACTGTACCACTTTGCCTAACCTGTTCAACTCCTACTGTTTTTATTCGAATGCCAACTTTTTGGTGTTTTCTTTTTTATCAGCCTGGGGAAGTTGTTAAGTCACTGGGAAAATCTTGGGAATAACTAAATTTCTACTGAGATACTTATTATAGTTAGGGGAACTCATAAATAATTTTCTCAAAAGAATGACTTAGATAAGTACATTAAAAATAGAAGATACAGAACTTTTATGCTGTGTGACTTGAACTGATAATGTCAGAATGGCCATATTTCGTTCATGATCAATATGACTAAAAGGGTAGAAAATTAGAAAATAAGTATATTGTATAATTTTGACTAGGATAGTAAATACCTGAATTGTGTGTGTTTTACTAACATGCATTTATAGAGTATCCTTTGCCAGATACTGTGCTAGTTGCTCTACTGCAATTGGTGGTATTTTGGGGGGGATGGGGGGGGAAGAATTTGCACTTTTCATTTAATATGTAATGTTCTTATTTAGTTAGTTAGTTATTTTGAGTCAGGATCTCACTCTGTTGCCCTGGCTGGGATACAGTGGCATAATCACGGCCCACCGCAGCTTCAATCTCCTGGGCTCAGGCAATCCTTCTATGTCAACCTTCTGAGTAGTTGGAATTACAGGCACATGCCACCATGTGTAGCTAAGTTTTTGATTTTTTTGTAGAGATGAAGTCTGGCTATGTTGCCTACGCTGGTCTCAAACTCCTGGGCGATCCTCCCACCTCAGCCTCTCAAAGTGCTGGGATTACAGACATATGCCAGTTCTCTCAGCCTAATATATAATATTCTTATCTAAGATGGAATTCATGTTATAAATTACTCTTAAAATGCCTTTGTCAGTAATAATGCAAAATAATTTGCTTTGTATATGTCTATTTCAAGAGATATTAGAAAGTGATATTACCCTCCTCCTTTTTTTTTTTTTTGAGTTGTAGTCTTACTCTTGTCGCCCAGGTTGGAGTGCAGTGGCACGCTCATGGCCACCGCAGCCTCGACCTACTGGGCTCAGTGCTCAGTTGATCCTTCTGCCTCATTTTCCAGGTAGCTGGAACTGCAGATGCACGCCACCATGCTTGGCTTATTTTTTGATTTAGTGTAAGGACGAGGTCTCACCAAGTTGTCCAGGCCAGTCTTGAATCCCCGGGCTTAGGCAATCCTCTCGCCTAGGCCTTTCAAAGTGCTGGGATTATAGGTTGAGCCACTGTGCCCGGCCTTCCCTTCTTCTGATAGTCATACCTTATAAAAAGAACAGTATTTACACTTAAAAGGCCAAACTCTGAAAGGGCAATTTCTTACTGAAAGCCAGAGAGTACATAATTTGCTAATTTATTTGGTTTATAAAGAAAATAGCTGACTTTACTATTTTTATCTAGTAAGCTGCAATAGTAGAATAAGTCAAACATCTAAAAAACTGTTTAAGAGTAAAACATGAGATTATAACAACATGTAATTAACTAGCCTGGGCAGAGACAAGGACAGACTAATTAACTGAATTTTCTGGGCAACTTTAAAAAGTTTGCATAGCAAGAAAACGTGGGGAAAGAATCCCTTTATAGTATTAAGATAATGATTAGATAATTGAAAACAGTATAATTATATGCTTTTAAATCATATACAGTTGTGTTGGGATTTTTTAGTTATGTTTACAGAAATTATATAATCTAATTTGGTCATAGAACATCATTTGCAGTGTGTTCAGACTTTTTTTAAAAAACCTTTTTAGCACATTCCTTGAATTCCATCAGAGTTAGATGCCCTTCCTGTCTGGTTCTGTTGTTACCTTATACATGCTACCATCATAAGGATAGTTTGGTAGTTGTAAGCTCGTTAAGGGCAGGAACTTTACTTTTGTATCCACATAAGCTAGCTAGGTTCTCAGAGAGGTACTCAGTGATTATTTATTGAACGTATGAAAATGACCAGCCCACTTGATGTAGCTGTTTTTAAAAATCCCTTCTTAATGGCACATTACTGGTGGATCTTTAGTGAGTGCTTTTTGAAATAGATAACGTGCAGGCTGGATGCAGTGGTTCATGCCTTAGTTATCTCAGCACTTTTGGAATCAGAGGCGGGAGGATTACTTGAGCCCAGGAATTCAAGACCAATGTGGACAATGATGTGAGACTTCATTTCTACAAAAACAGAAAATTAGCTGGGTGTGATGGTGTGTGCCTGTAGTATCAGCTACTTGGGAGGCTGAGGTGGAAGAGTCGCCTGAGCCCAGAAGGCTGAAGCTGCAGTGAGATCATGATTGTGCCACTGCACTCCAACCTGGGCATCAGAGACCCTGACGCAAAAAAAAAAAGAAGAAAAGAAATAGACAACATTTGACAGGTCTAATTGGAATCAAGTATTTGATTATTAACATTTCTCCTCCGTAAAAACTCTCCTTACCTTTCCATTCCCTCCTGGATTTTTTGAAAAAAGACATTTCCTATTTTAGAACCATTTTTTGATTTAACAGAAAAATGGAGACAATAATAGAGTTCTCATATGTGTCATACCCAATTTCCTCTGTTGTTAACATCCTCTGGATTTTTTAAATTATCTGTATCATCCAAAGAATGTAGACTGACAGGTTAATTTTGGGGCACAAGAGATTCAGGATGGATTTCATTCCATACTGAATTAATAGTATACTTTATTTAAAACTTTTTAAAAATTAAAATTTTTAAGATTGTCACATATTATTTGCTCATAATTATGGGTACATAGTGATGTTTTGTTACATATAATAGTGATTAGATTGGGGTAATTAGCATATCTATCATCTCAAATATTTATGTCTTACTTGTGTTGGTAATGTTCCCAACACAAACTATATGTCATTGTTAACTCTAGTCATCCTGCAGTGGTATAGAATGCTAGAACTTACTCCTTGTATCTAACTGTAGTTTTGTAGCCTTTAATAAGTCTCTCCTGTTTATTCTCTTCCCAACCTCTGTTGGGAAGTATCCTCTGTTCTACTTTTTGCTTCTATGAGATCAACTACTTTTAGCTTCTACCATATGAGTGAGAACATATGTTTAACTTTCTGTTCCTGACTTATTTCACTTAACAAAATGTTCCTCCAGTTCCATCCTATTGCCACAGTGACAGAATTTCATTCTTTTTTATGGCTAGTTAAAAGAGTTCTTTACTGGTCTCCAGTTACTGTGAATACTTTCTTTCGTATCACTGTCATTGCCCAATTGTATGTTATTTGATGGTTTGAAAACATAAACACAAGCTCGTATTGAGAAAACGAAATCATCCTTGTTTAGATCAAACACAATAAGAAAAAATAATTTTCTGTTTTGGATTCTTATTAATAATTAAACTGTAACAGGTGTTAAAGGTTTAGAACAATAATGTCCCTTTGTGGGTTTTCTGTGTGTACATGGTTCAGTGTGCGTCGGAGTCTCACTCTGTTGCCCAGGCTGGAGTGCAGTCGTGCACTCACAGCTCACCACAGCCTCAACCTCCTGGGTTCAGGCAGTCCTTCTGCCTCACCCTACCAAGTAGCTGGGACTACAGGCATATGCTACCATACCTGGAAAATTTTTTGATATTTTGTAGAGACAAGGTCTCGCTATGTTGCCCAGGCTGATCTTGAACTCCTAGATTCAAGCAGTCCTTTTGCCTTGGTCATCTTTGTTTTTTAATATGCATACCTGTTTTGTCGAAAACAGAATTTTGACTGTTGCCCAGAAGGGAAGAAACGTTAGCAAATCCCTAAATTAGGAATTAGTGTTTATAATTAAGTTCTGTTGAAAAACTAAAATGTGCTATTCTAATCAGTGGTCAATATGACTTACATTTTTTAAATTTAAATTTTAAATCTTTAAAATTACAAGACTGATTATACAAGTTCTGCCAAAAAAGAAACCCCATTTTTTTTTTTTTTGGAGTTGGAGTCTCACTCTGTTACCCAGACTGGAGTGCAGTGGCCGCTTCCGGCCACCGCAGCCTCGACCTGCTGGGCTCCGGCGATCGTTCCACCTCAGCTTTCCAAGTAGCCGGAATTACAGGCATGCGCTACCACGCCCGGCTGATTTTTTGATTTATTGTAGAGATGAGGTCTCGCTGTCCAGGCGGGTCTGAAACCCGCGGGCTCAGGCAATCCACTCACCTCAGCCTCCCAAAGGCGCGGGATTACAGGCTGAGCCACTGAGCCCGGCTAGAAACCCCATTTTTTAACTTTGTCACCTCATACTTACAAATTATGGAATTTTATAATGAAATTAATTTGTATACATTTTAATCTGTTTGTCACAAATAATCACAAATAAATGCTTTATTCATTTTGAGGCAGAAGACAAAATTTCCTGCTCTGGTTTTCCATGACAAAGTCATAGGGTCATGCCCTTGAGTGACAGAAAGGATTTTCAGAGCTCATTAGCCCAGTCCTTTATCAGCAAGGAACACAAAACACAGAGAAATTGTACTTATGTGTACAACAAACAATTGAACAGAAGTGCCAAAACCCAAAGTCGTGTGTCTTACTCCAACTTACATTTCTTCTTCGTGAAAATGAGTGAGGGAAAAGGTACAAGGATCTAGGTAGCAAACTTAAAATTTGTAAAATTTTATTACTTAACATTGGTTTCTTCATACTTGCTCAAATGTGTTCCTGAGAGACAGAATATGTTAAATTTGGAACCATACAATATAGGGAAGATGATGAACCATACTAAAAGAGTCCAGGACTAAAAGTGTTAGTATCACAATAGTGAATGTGCCAGTCCTTTTCTGTTTTCCTTAACTTGGTAGTTTGGAAACATAAACATGTATTTTGAGAAAGTTAGTACAGTCTTTGGTTTAAAATACAATATGCAGAAATATGATTTAGACTGTTTTGAATAGTTACATGATAATAGTGAAGTCTTATTTGATAGAACTGGAATTTTTGTCCCCATATGCCTGTAAGTAAGGAACATAGTTGTTTAAAAACATGTCTGACACATTTTCCAAGGTTCAGTCCCTTTTAAGCAACTATGTCTACAGGAATCATTTGTTAACTGTCAGCTATCTACTGAACGGAAGATAATTTCCACTAAATGGTAACGTTTACTTAATACAGAAAAAGCAGAATGACTGTTGATTTATGTCATGTAAATAAATCTGCAGGACTTGCATGTCCTCTTCATAAAAGTGAGTGAAAGAGATAAAAGGATTCAGTTAGCTCTCATTTTCTTTTTTTCCCTTTTAATTGTGTTTGGGAACTGAGTGCATGTATGGCAACATCAAGTATGATTAGCCTCATTTAGAGATTTTAACTGTAGCGATTAGTGGAAAGTCTCACACCTGTTACAAAGTGTCAGGAGAAGCAGAGTGGTAGGGAAGCGGTGCTGTGGTCATATTCCTCTTGATACAGTCATTCATATGCTTTTCCCAGTGGATATGAATTTATAGGTGGAAAAGCAAGGGTAAAACAGGTTAAATCTTAATTTACTGGAATAGTAGTAGAAGAAATTGTGAGAAATGTTAGTAGAAAACTATAATCATTCTCAAAATGAAAGTTTTCGTTTCAAATTGATGTTTTTCTGTGAAGACTTTTTTGTGTTAATAACACCTATATTTCAATACTTTATTTTGTCAATAAAAGGCAATTTTCTAACATTTGTTATTTATGCCTGACTTTTCAGTTTATTCCTTCAGTTCTAGAAGCTTTTTTCAGACTTCTAGGAAAATCCACTATTAAAAGACAGATAATTATTGGTGTGCTTATCCCTTAAGCCATTATTAAGTAACTCCTTAGTCCAAAATCATATATTATACTAATAACTGTTATGCAAAACACAGTATTAATGTGCTTTGATCTGAAGGGAAGAAAATAAGGCTGTAAGAAATGCAGCTCTTGTCTGGGCATGGTGACTCACACCTATAATGCCAGCACTTTGGGAGGCTGAGATGAGAGGACTGCCTGCTGAGCCCATGGGCTCGAGACCAGCCTGGGCAACTTGGCAAGACCTCATCTCTACAATAAATCAAAGAATTAGCCATGCGTGGTGGCGTGTGTCTGTAGTCCTAGCTACTTGGAAAGCTGAGGTGGAAGAATCGCCTGAGCCCAGCAGGTTGAGGCTGCAGTGACCATTAGTGTGCCATTGCACTCCAGCCTGGGCGACAGAAAAAGAAAAGAAATGCAGCTCTTTTATTGACTTGTGGGGCAACAGGACATGAATACTAAAATATAGTCGACTCTTGTTGGATTAACTTAGGAAATGTTATCATTTTTACTGTTTTCTACAGAGAAAATATTTTCCAATATGTATCAAAACAACTCTGAACTTTTAAAATTACAACCCATTTTTACGTTGGAACTATCTGTTCAGTGGTTTCTCTACAGTTTTTTTTTTAACTATGAACTGAGTTAATATATAATATATTGCTTTATATAATACACTGCCTTATACCATAATAAAGATAGTAATGCTTTGGGGGGAACATATATATATAGTCAATCCTTAGTATACGTGGGTATTGATTCCAGGACCCCCGTGGATACCAAAATCCATGATTGCTCCCTTACATAAAATGATGATATATTTACGTATAACCTATGCACGTCCTCCCATATACCTCAGATCATGTCTAGATTCTTTACAACACCAATACAACATGAATGCTATGTAAATAGTAGTTATACAGGGAATAATTACCCCCAAAAAAGTTTGTACGTGTTCAGTTCAGATATAACCATCCATTTTTCCCCCAAATATTTTTGATTCACGGTTGGTCGAATTCGTGGATGCAGAACCCAAGGATACAGAAGGCTGACTGTATAACAGATACATTTTATGGTAAATGGGAAATGAATGATATAAGTAATACTAAAGGAACTTTACTATTTTTTATGTGGATCATGGTGTTAAGGGGATGCTTTTGTGAAGGAAGTAATTTGATTGGTCTTTGAAAGATGGAGTATACAGATGTGTGGAGAGGGGAAGACTATTTCACTTCATGGAGTGGGCTTAGAGAGCTAGAGAAAAGACAGAAGAAAGAGTGAGGATATGCAGCTTAGCTTGTGTGAAGAATAGTAAAACACTCCTTTATCACCTCATACCATCCCCAGGGACTTTCTTTGTTGTTTTGTTTTTATTTTGGCTTGGCTTTAAGCGGTGTAGCTCTGTCAAAGTAAGGCTTTTTTTTTTTTTTTTTTTGAGACGGGAGTCTCACTCTATCGCACAGGCTGGAGTGCAGTGGCATGCTCACAGCCACCCCAGCGTTGACCTGCTGGGCTCTGGCGATCCTTCCACCTCAGCCTTCCAAGTAGCTGGAACTACAGGCGCACACTACCCTGCCCGTGCCTGTAGAGACAAGGTCTCACCAAGTTGCCCAGGTTGTTTGAGCCACTGAGCCCAGCCAAAAGCAAGGCTTTTTGACAGTGAGTATATGCCTGGAGAAGATGAAATTAAAAAGAAAGGACACATTGGACAATTGAAATGACAGGAAAATCAAATCTCATCTTCACTTAGCATGTGACTAATTCTTTGTAGTGGTATATACCCCCATTGTTTACCGTAGGTTTGAATATAGGGTAAGGCTGTGTCTTGTAGCTAGAGATTTTTATAATTTACTCTCTTTAGTCCCATTTTGTTGTAAAATGTTCAAATTGAGTGAAACAGCTTTTCAAATAATTTATTAAGCTTTCAAGATCATTTTAACCCTGGATCCTGGTGACACTAGTATCAGAGGAATGAAGGTAATGTTAACCACCTTCCAACTTCCCAATCTTGTTTTTTGAGATGTCGTCTGTAACTTGGCACTTGTTAGTTTTTACAGACAATTGATAGATACACATATATGATCCTTTCTTATTTAAAAATTATTTTGTACTTTTAAAATAATTGCCTCTTGAATCATTAAAATTATTTTACTTTAAAATTTTTTCTTTTTCAGTCTGATCTTGTGGATCAAAGTATATTTAATTTTATCCCAGAAGGGGAGCATTCAGAGATTTATAAAATACTCTCTACTCATCTGCTGGAAAGTGATTCATTAACCCCTGAATATTTAAAATGTAAGTAATAGCTGTTAAGCAAAAAATAAAATAAAATTAAATGTTATATTTGGTAGCATTAGCCTTTTCCTTTGCAAGTTTGTGAAAAACACAAACACTTTTAACTAAATTAACATATAGCATGTTCCATATACCCTAATAGGTTCTTTTTAAACATTAAAAAATACGTAAAATGAAACCTTGACCATGGCAAAAGTCTGTAATCCAGTTCAGAGTATATTGAAATCCCATCTTGTTTGTTAAAATAAACTTAGACCAAAGTTATGCCATAAAACTATATTTTATGCAAAAGTGGAGCCAGGCAGTATATTCTGATTTTTAAATAAAATCTGACTGTATTTAATGACAGAAAATGAAACATTCTGATTTTCACCATCATTAACCAACTGGACACTCAAACTGTGGGAAAAAATTTCTATATTTCTTTAAAAAGTATTAAATATAAAGATAAATTGTTTACTTTATTGACTAAACAGAATTAAACAATTATTTATCACATGTATCTAATTTGCCAGGCACTCGTACTATATCGTAAAAGTTCCAAAAATAGTCAAAAATAGTCCCTGCCATCAAGAAACACAAAATACTATGATATAATCAATTTCTACTATGTCCATTGGACAAATTAATTTGACCAGAGTACTCATTTTCTTCACGATATTACCGTATGTAAAATCTGGAATTGTTACAGCACTGTATTTTTTTATTAGCTATTAGATATCTTCTTTAATCACTTTTTTCATTATTTTTACATTGTCTCATATGGTAATGCTTATACGAATCATCTTAAAGGTTCTTTGTATTTGAACTCTTAAATCCTATACATAGCACACTAATTGTCTAAGAACTGAGATACACATATATGCACACATACACACTCATATATATATGTAAATTTGTATGTACGTATATATTTTATAAGAATGGGTAGCCTTTCAGAAGTAATTGAGAAAAGCCAGAGACCAGGAAAATTCATTTTAAGTCTGTTTATATAATTGTTTTAAAATCAAGTTTGCAGCCGGGCTCGGTGGCTCAGCCTGTAATCCCGTGCCTTTGGGAGGCTGAGGTGAGTGGATTGCCAGAGCCCCGCGGGTTCGAGACCCGCCTGGGCAACTTGGCGAGACCTCATCTCTATAATAAATCAAAAATTAGCCGGACGTGGTAGTGCACGCCTGTAGTTCCAGCTATTGGAAGGCTGAGGCGGAAGGATCACCGGAGCCCAGCAGGTCGAGGCTGCGGTGGCCGGGAGCAGCCACTGCACTCCAGTCTGGGTGACAGAGTGAGACTCCAACTCAAAAAATAAAAATAAAATAAAAAATAAAATAAAATCAAGTTTGCATGGCATTGACCATCAGGCTACCCTAGTCTGGTATTTAGGAGAAAAAATTGGGCTGGATATAATAGGTGCCCATAAATGTGAAGTCATAAATGGATTGAAATTTCCTGAGGTAAATGTATAGATAGAACAAGGAGAGAAGAATTAGAGAGGAGGTAGCAATAGGAAGGGAGAGGAGAAGGAGTCCACTTCTACATGAGGGCCAAACTGGTTAGAGAACTGAATAAAGCCTTTGACAGAAAGAAGAACCATAGGCTCCTGCTTCCAAGAATAGAGGTGAGGATTGGAGCCATTCTTTTTGATACAGGCTGTTCTTTTTTTTTTTTTGAAAAGTCTTAATTAATGACTTGCTGATCCCCTAGTTAAGTAAGTGATACATAAAACAAATTCTTGCCCTAGAAAAAATGTGTTTCATGCCAAAGGAATGAACATGAGTTATAACACAGTAAATTGCTTAGAAAATTCAATATGTCATTTTGACCATATGAAGATGAGATAGTTCCAGTTGTATGATTTATATCTAGATAAGGAAATAAAGGAAGAATTGTAAAGGGCCTAATACTTTATCCTAAGGTGTTTGTTTTTTCTTTTTTACACAATAGAGGAAAAGATAATGAGATTTGGGTGGTTTTATGGTTTGAAAAAAAAAAACTGAAAAAAATGGTGGGAGATTCTTTTGGAGAAGGCTAGGAAGAGTTACAGTAGTAAGATACTTACCTCGAGGTTATCTAGCTTCTAAAAGAGCCCCTGAGTCTTGGTGTTAAGTTAGGACCCTTGATTTCTCTGTCATGGTGACTCAAGTCAAGCTCTGCTCACCAGACCTGGAGATTTCCTACTACACAATCAAGTGATATAGTCCTAGGAAGTCAGCTAAGCACAACTAGAGAGCTCATGAATCAGACCAATCTGATGTCAAGCTGGGTCTGGTTCCTGGCACAGTAATTATGCCTACTTTTCCTGTAGCAGATGTTCTACCTATGTGGAGGTCCAAATCTTCGTTGCAACCGAAGCATTTCTCACCAGCATCTCTGTCCTAGAGATTTTAACAGTACATTGCTCATAAAAGTTGCTGTGACTTTCATCATCTTGTTTGGGAGATATAGTCTAGGAGGTGGTGGGAAATCACTCAGGCAGAAAATCTTGGAAAGGACTAGACTGGGGCAAAAAGGAAAACTGTATAATCTTAGCAGTAGAAGTAAGGATGAAGAGGAAAGTATGTAAGTGTTAAGTAGATAAACTCAATAGGACTTGTTGTTAGGCTCTGGTGACCAAGGAGCATCAGTGGGGAAGGTTTGGGGAAGAAGATAGTTAAATTTTGCAATCTGGAGTTAGATGATAAAGTCTTATATCTTGATAATGACTGAAGAGTACAAGCTTGATGTAGTCAGTGAAGAAGGGTGTTAGTAGTCCTTGAGTACTGAAGTAATATGATGAAAGTGGTATTAGTCTAAGAGAAACAGGCAAAAATGAATCCAAATGACAAGATGTGAAGGCATAATGAACACATTTCTCAGCACTAAAATTTGGTGATAATGGGTGCTCAGTTGGAAAAATGACTTATGAGAGCTTCTGTGGTGAAATAAATAGCAGGTCCTGGTGACCGAATAGATTTGGGACTTGTAAAGAGAAGACTGATATGGTATCCAGCTTGGGAAAGAAGCATATATAGGACAAAGGGGGACAGCTGATTTAGGAAGAGAAATTCATTTTCAAATATTTCAAGTTGCTAATGGGGCAATAAAGTGCAATGTCCTGAAAGCAAATAATGATATGAGATGTTATCTTACATAAAATATTGGAGAGAGAGATTTAGCAGTGAATGAGCTTACCAAGGCCATTCAATTTATAAAAGAGATCAAAAGAACCTTTTGAAAACCCTTAGTGTGAAGATGGATTAGGAGAAGAGATGGGAGGAGTAGTCATCAAGGGAGGAAGGTAAATTCATGCTGTGGAAATGACCAAGTGTGAATTTTAAGACAAGGTAGAAAGAACACTGAGGTTAATGATACAATTGTTAGTAATCTTTAGAAGAGTAATTGCTGTGGAGTTGTGAGGGTGAAAGCTGCGGTACATGAAGTTAAAGGAAATGAATATATGGAAAATGGAGCCCATAATGAAAAGGAAGGCAATCTGGGATACTAAAATAATTAGCATGAAAAGCCTTTTGTTTGAGATGGGAAGACCTGAGCAAATTTAAAAAGAGAAAGTAAGAACCAAAGAGAATGCATAAATGCTAAAAGAATGATTAAGAATGATGTGGCCCTGGTTCTAGAAAAGATAGAAAAGACTGTCAAGGTAGAGATAGAAGCATTAACTTTAGAATGGGAAGCAAAACTTTTCTTTGAAATTGGAGTAAAGAATGAGAAGGAAGGACAGATAAAAATGGGGAGCCAGCTGGGCTCGGTGGCTCAGCCTGTAATCCCGCGCCTTTGTGAGACTGAGGTGAGTGGATTGCCTGAGCCTGCGGGTTCGAGACCTGCCTGGGCAGGCGAGACCTCATCTCTGCAATAAATAAAAAAATTAGCCAGGCATGGTAGTGCACACCTGTAGTTCCAGCTACTTGGAAGGCTGAGGCGGAAGGATCGCCAGAGCCCAGGAGATCGAGGCTGAGGTGGCCGGGAGCGGCCACTGCACTCCAGTCTGGGCAACAGAGTGAGACTCCAACTCAAAAACAAACAAAAAACAAAAAAAACTGGGGAGCCATTAAGTTGCTTGTACCAGAAGATTGTTTTGGTTATAAACTTATATAATCATATTTTATGTCATCATTCATTGTGACATATCACAAATGTATGATTTTTTTCTTATTTCAGCAAAAAATCAGTTAGAATTCTGTTGTCACATGCTTCGAGGAACAATAGACCCAAAGGAGCCATCTATCTATGAATATGTAAAATTTATAGGAAACTTCAAGTCTTTAAACAGTGGTGAGTTGAAATGCTGCATTTAACTAGTTGTCTTTTTAAGCTCTTGAAGACATAGATGTTTGAATATTAGCAATGACTAGGTTTTGCTGGAGTAACTGGTGACACATATTTCCTACTGTTGCAGTATCCACTTCAGCACACAATGGTTTTGAAGGAACTATACAACGCACACCTAGGCCTTCTTATGAAGACAGAGTTTGTTTTGTAGCTACTGTCAGGTTAGCTACACCTCAGTTCATCAAGGTATGTTTCTAATTTTATTTCTTAAAGGGGATTTCAGTTCTTTAAGAACTGTCTTTATGCAATTTTTTTTTTTGTGCTTGTTTCCAGAATGACTGCAACTTTTTGCAAACATTGAAGTAGTAATGGCTATGAGTCATTAAATATGCATGATTATAATATTTTTGAAACAGTGAGTTACCTAGACACCCATGAAATTTTGTAACTATTTTGTTAGTATATATCCTTTGCAATTAACCAGTGGTTATATATCAGTATTGCCTCACTTTTGTGCAAAACTCTAAGATGCTTTTGTGTATTGTTCACTGTCATCATGAAAGGGGAAAGTCCAGAGGTATAGGTAATTTTTAAAAGATTGTTTTTGAAATCTTTTAAATATACAAGTAGCTTTTTACTAATTATAATTTACCTTTTCAATTTTTAAATTAAATAATTTATTTTTATTTCCTGTGCCTGACTATCAGCTGATTAGTCAGGTGGGAAAGTGAAGTAGTTCAGCCATTAGAAAGTAGCTGGAAAGAAGCAGCTAGGCTAAGATTTAAAAGTTAAGATAGGTGAGATGGTGTCAGTTTTTTATTTTTTTATTTTTATTTTTTTTTAATAATTAATCAGTATTTTTTATTATGGTTTTGTGAGGTACAGTTAAGGGTTAGGTGTACAATTACGTTTCATTCAGGCACCCTGTTGATAAGAGGTGTTTTCCCAGCCCCAGACAGATATTTGCTACTGTAATCCCATCCCCCTCCCCCCATAGTTTCCCAGTACCATCAGTCATTTTCTTATAGTATTACATTGGATGTTCAAGGTCCATTATATGAGTGAGAACCTGTGATATTCTGATCTTTGTTTCTGTGAGAGGTCACTCAGTACTATAGACTCTAGTTCCATCCAGGTTGCTGCGAAATTCATGATTTTGTTCTTTTTTATGGCTGCGTAGTATTCCATCGTGTATATACCACATTTTTTTAATCCAGTCCTCTTTTGATGGGCAGCATGGTTGTTTCCAGGTTCTTGCTATTGTGAACAACGCTGCGATAAACATACGTGTGCAGGTATCTTTTTTATAGAGTGATTTGAGTTCTTCAGGGTATATTCCCAGTAGGGGGA